ACCTCATCCTCTGAAAAATCACATGGATTGGGCTTTTTTTCTTTTGCCTGAATTCAAGAATAATTTAAAGTTAGTATCATCATGATTGTTCYTTGGGTTGACCACTCCCTGCACATCCCACCATCTTATTCATGATGAGATACAGCAGAAATCATTACCACACAAAGTTTGTTTGAATTTTGCTCTGAGACTTGGTAGCATATACAATATGCCAATTCTCTCCTTTACGGTCCCCTACACCATCTTGAAATGTAGTGGTCATGCCTTTGCATGGAAGAGAGACTGTTGTTGAGTGTGTAATAAAAGATACAGGTATAATTGTCTCTGTAGGTGCAAAAGGAGATTTCTATCATGACTGCACACTCAACAGTCATCTCTCTCCAATGCAAAGACATACTAGTATGTCTTTCAAGATGGCATAGGGAAGTAGACTATTCTGAAAAGCATTAAATTAAAAGACTTTCTACTGTAAATAATAATATTGACCTTTTTCTTTGTGGAATATGACTTACAAACCCACGAACTGGAAACTTCAGGTGTCAAATCACCTTGACTTTTAGGCAGCGTTCTCCATTTGCAGCACTTTTGACACTGTACCCAATACTCCATGACTTTCTCAGCAACATATGTCTTSGTACTAGCCTCTCTCTGACAGCAACCTCCCCAGGCAAATTTCCACTTGGCATATTCAGCATAGCCTTCCTTATGGCTGCAATAATAATATACATTATCATATAATTATCTATGAAATACCTATATATTTCTCCATTTTGTAAAATTGATATTTTCGAGGTTTCTCTATAGAGTGGACCTAAGAAAAAAAAGGTATTTTATTTTATAATTTGCTTTTTATGTAATTATATGATTAAACAGAATATTACATGTTCGCTTGGGGATACGAATTATTACCTTCTTGTGTTTTATCAACACTCGAAGATAAAATCCGTATCTCCGCGCCCATGTAATATCCTCTATATATCAAGTTGTGCTTTGCTTGAGAATGGTATAGTCAAAATGATATTCATATATGATGTCATAAGATATATTCTCTGTTTGGGCTTCCTGTGGCTCATATGAGTTTATTAGTTCTACTATGAATATTGTAGCAGAGTCAGCTCTGTGGGTCCATGAAAACTTTCCAAATGGTCTGCTTGTTGTGTATACTGTTAGACGAAGGCTGTGTTTAGCTTCTAGTTTGTAATAAAGTTGAAACCTGTCAAATTTCTGGTCTTTATGAGATCAAATATGAAGTCATACATTACAAAAGTGTAGTTTGATGATCAACATGTAAAGGTTGATGTCATGTAGCCTCCATAAGCAGAAGTTCTTCTAAGCAGGAATATCGAACCACGCTAAGAACGTCTGCTTACAGAGGTTAGACTTCACGTAACTGCAAGAATGCCAGTGACGTAAAGAAATTATGAATACAAATTACACAATCTGTTTGAAACTTCTATAACAGATCATGCTGTAAAATATATGGGTTTGTGTGCACTTGTCTGTAATGATTCTGACAAAAAAGTATTCCTAAGTTTTGAGTTTATGAGATCAAATATGAAGTCATACATTACAAAAGTGTAGTTTGATGATCAACATGTAAAGGTTGATGTCATGTAGCCTCCATAAGCAGAAGTTCTTCTAAGCAGGAATATCGAACCACGCTAAGAACGTCTGCTTACAGAGGTTAGACTTCACGTAACTGCAAGAATGCCAGTGACGTAAAGAAATTATGAATACAAATTACACAATCTGTTTGAAACTTCTATAACAGATCATGCTGTAAAATATATGGGTTTGTGTGCACTTGTCTGTAATGATTCTGACAAAAAAGTATTCCTAAGTGTCAAGTAAATTAAAAAGGAAATGTCACACAAACTTTCTAACCATTATCTATACTTTCTCCAATCCGAAATAAGATTATACAACCTACCTTCTATACATATGATCAAAGCAGGCATTGCAGAAATGCTCTCCACAAGATATGTGGTACCAACGAGAGGTATACCCATTACCACAGCAACTAGAAATAATCAATAGCAATAAATGAATCACATTTTTCAATTCATCCTCAGTTCCATTGGTCATTCCCATCAATATAGTCAATGCTACAAGGGCTACAGCTCATGGATGAAAAACACATAACAATGAAATTCAAGTTAGTACACCTATCATTCATTCATGGGGGCCGCAGAGAAGTCTCATACCCAGTGGACACCTATCTGTATGGGTTCAATATTCATGAAGCAGCATACGGTATTTTAATTAACATATAAGTTATGGGCAGGAGACCAAGTCCATAAAGGTCGGCCGCGAATATTTTATATTGCATGCTTATCAGATTCCAACATATTTAAGCTTTTAAGCAAATTTTGCTAAAAACTTCAAGATAAAATATCATTTTAAGAGAAAATCCATGTGAAAGTCATATTATGCAAATCAGGACAAATCTCTTTTTATATGCAATTTTGTTTACCTTAAAGGGACACTGTCAATGGCACGCATGCGCAAGTAAACTTGAAAACATTAGGCTAATGTTTTCAAGTTTATGATTCCAAGTTGGTGTGACATAAATCAGCTTGTAAACATAAACAGATCTAGAATATTCCAAAGTGTGTCAAAAGCACCACAAAATAATTTTCCTCGAAGGTAATACTTTCAAAGTCCGTTAGAGGTGAGACTGTTACTGCGCATGCCATCCATTGACAGTGTCCCTTTAAATCATTCATGAATTTAATCATAACATTAGATAAGAATTTTGGTCAAAAATGTGTTCTTTAATCTTTTCGGTCAAAATTTCTCACTATAGGATGAATCCAAAACAGCACTTTTCGTCAGCAAGTTTAATTTTGTAATAGGTGTAAATGAGTCATACATTAAATTGTTTACTGGTTAAAGTAAAATGGCTACTGACCCTGAGCTCAACTCAGCACAGCATTCAGGCCTTTCACATGGACACCCACTATTTTCACACTTCCTGAAACGCTGAGTCGAAGAAGAACTCCCATCATCCAATGTTCTCTTTTTGGCCTGTCTTCGACTMCGAGACCCTGTAAGACTTTCAGCCATATCTACATTTAGATAGCCTTCTGCTTCAGTCAGCCATTGAGAGCTTTATATATCTGAAGGAAACACATTTTGTTATTTATGTTGGACAATATAAACATAACACATAAGAAAATAACTTGTTCTGATCTTGAGCTGTAGCATTTTTGATTCAGCACAACGAGGARAAGTGCAATAGACTTGCACTGAATACACTTGAGAATGCCCGAGACTTGCTGATGGGCTGATCCATATGCAATATTATTGCAAATATCTTTAAAATTAGGAGTTTTTATTTATTTYACCAACAATGCTTTCCTTCATTTTCTTCGATTTTGAGTGTTTTTTTTTTCTCGACAAACACTAATTTTCAACAAGTAAATTACTTGAGATGCTACCAGTAAATCTATAAATGATTTATAAGCAACAATATTGATAATATGGCCAAGATGGCAGCACACACGTGGTTGCGTCTTCTGCACTCTAGTGTAAACAAATGACCTCAGAAAACCAATAAATATCGTAATAAAATGCAAAATAATGTTGCCAGCAAGCTAGTATTAGAATAATTATAGTGCAACAATTGACAAAGTTTAAAAAACAGATGTTTAATCGACGAACAACAACTGCTCAGTCAAAGGTGACGAGGTAAGATCTTGTGAAAACAAGGAGGGCTTGACAAGGTTTTTGCTATAAACTTCGTAAGCTTTGCTTGAAAAAATGTAATTTTACAGTCGATACTAGTTTAATGGCAATCCTAAAATGCCTAATTAAATGATTTTGACATGATTAATAGAGGGGAGGACCAGAGAACAGTGCACTGGTGAAGTAGAAGCGTAGAAGCCGATCGTTTGTTGCAAGGCCTTTGGCAGCTTTGTGTTTTTTCTATGAATATATCATACTTGTAAAGACTTTGTACCCACCTTCATAAGTACTCTTATGTGTTACATAGTCGACAAGAAGATGAACAAAAAATCTCGTGAAATTTGCTCAAATTTGCTCAAATCGTTCAAAATCTCAAATCGCGCGGGCAAACGACAATGCTATGCATGCTTCTCTTCGTCGTCTTGTGATTACAACAAGTCATGTTTTGTATCAGCCAATCAGAGCGTGGATGTCATTTCGCTTTGTATATTTCATCACAATGTTTTTTCCTTTTTCTTTTAATTCCTATTTCATAATTTACTCTTTCTTATGGGAATTAATAATAACACYCTTTCTGCAATGCTGATAAAATGTCTCTCAGATTTTTTTCTGATGTATTTTCTAAATTTTTGTCTTTTTTTTATTATTTCAGTATTCCAATGAAGTACAAGACTACAAGAAACAATTATTTTATCGTGAAAAATATCACTATACACGTTAAAAGGTAAAAAGGATAAAAAATAAAAGGATAAAAAAACCCGGAAAACAAAGTCATTGCTTGGGCTTCCTGTGAAAACTCGAAGGAAAGTCACGTGATATGAGCATTGACATTAGAAGAGGCTCATGGGATACCTTCAAAAAACATGGTCGATGAGGAGAAGGGAATGGATGCATCTCAACTCCCTTTAGGAATGTCTTATTCAACAGCTTATTCTCTAGGAATAGAGTCGACCCCAGGTTATTCATCATCTACACTCCAAGACAGCTCAGACTACAACAAAGATAGCGATCAAGAAGACAGTGATGGTCGCCGAAGAGGGGGCAACTTTGAACGAGATCTTCGAGGCGATCGCGAAAGTCGACGCTATGCTCCCTACTCAACAGGCCGCCAAAAAAGTCGTGTTTCTTCAAGTGCTTTGAAAGATCTTCGTATTTATGTATCAAATATACCTTATACAACTCGGTGGCAAGAATTGAAGGATTACATGAAGAAGGGTAAGTCAAAAACTTCGATTAAAATTTCTTTTTGTGTTGAAGGCAGTGGCTCTATTTGAATTTTTTTACTAGAAGCATACAAGCCTTAATCTTAAGTTTAACGTGCTTTTAAATGCCCAAAGAATGTTTCTTTTGTCGAATTAGTCAGTTTCTTCAAATTCACATACGTATGCAATGTTTTTATTTGGAGTTAGTAGATTTGTAGCGTTTTATAAGTTATGATTTGATGTTATTTATTATTCATCTAGGAAATTCTTACAGGTATCTCCATGTATTTCAACATTGGCTACCTTCATATGTCAGTAGCCTATTGCTATTGTAATTTATACTTTATTGGCATTCTTTTCAGTTGGAGAAGTCTCATTTGTTGAAATCTTTGAGGATGAAAAGGGAAGGTCAAAGGTAAGGGTTTTTTCACTTTTTCATTCATTTCAATGAACCTTTTCATTTAACCATCTGGGGCCAGTTGTATGAAGGAATTCATAACTTATATCACCCTCCATATGTCCAGTCCCTGCTTTCGTTTGTATACATGCTTACGACATAAACCGGAAGTAGCTTAAGGATGGAAAAATATTCTTATTGAATTGAACAACAAGCAAGAAAATGTCGTTTTCCTACAGACAAGCGATTTTTCTTAAATTCAGGTGAAAGGAATCCCTTGATATTTGCGATCTAAACTCCTCAAGGGCCCTTAGGCCTCGTTTCCATTCCTTTGTTTTCTATTGTTTTCAATTCACTTCCGGCTTACGTCATAAGCATCTATTGTCACATGATAAGCCAAGATATACTTCACAATGTGCAATTAGCATTTTAGATTAACTTTACTCAAATAAAGTGTTTTGGTGCCAATTGCTTGTTTACATTTTTAATGTTTATTAGTCATCTTGCTTCAATTCCAAGCAAACCTTTCAAAGTGGTAGAGAACTCTCAGCATAAATGCATAAAATGAATTTATACATGTGAAATTAACTCAGTTTTGTGTCTTGTTTCTTTCAGGGATGTGGGTGAGTACTACTCAAGTCTTAAAAATATAAATTGGCAGCATTTGATTGACAAAACTACCTGAGGAAATCTTGTGTTTGTAACTGTTGGTATACTTAGTAAAAACTAAGTACAGTACTTCTACAAATTGCATTTATGGTTTTTACAGTAGTAATATTCTTTTGAGATTAACATCTAAGGCCCATTTGAGACGTCGATCTTTGCCTTGTCTAATCTAATTACATGTACTTACATGCAGTTCTCGAGAAGTTTACAGTTTGATTATATTAAGTTTTTCCAACACAACAAAATCTTCTAATATCAATAAAATTCAGAGTACAAAATGCTTATAAACTCAACGGCACCAATTACAGTGTAGATTAGACTCAGCAAAAGATCGACATCTGAATTGGGCATTAGTTTCACAATATTTTGAAACATTGTTCTATTATACATGTAAGTGTTGTAGAGTTTAAGTCCAAAGAAGATGCTGACAAGGCAATCCTTGAGTACAATGGTAAAGATTTCCAAGGAAGATTGCTTCAAGTCAGAGAGGTTAAACACTCATTATTATTTCATTAAAATCCAATGCCTATAGCTTGTCATAATTTTCTGCTGGACAATCATTTTTTTCCCAGTCACTCTTCTCAACAACCTTGTATTAATAGACCTTTTTACTGATATATACATGCACGCCATCTTGAATTTTGAAAAAAGTATGGGTTTTCTAGCGTGAAAAACCACGTTATCATATAGAGTGGCAATGAAAAATGACTTTCTTGGACTTCTGTGCTTCAAAATTATTAAATTATTGCATCAAAACTTCCAAAGATGTCATGTCTTTTTTCTATTTTTTCAAGTTCTAGGATATGATATTCAATCTCATATTATTTTGAAAGCCCTATACTGTAGTTGATGAATACTGTACTTTGTTTATTGCTGCCTAGGAATCCCATAGTTTCCTACTGAATTGACACTTAAAAAAGGTAAAAAGGTATCTACTAGATATTAATGATGAGTAATGAACATTCAACTAGGATCGAGTTGAAGAGGACAGTCGAATGCACAGATCCAAGCTTCGTGGTAACACAGTAGCACAGAATTCAAGTGGTAATATCCTTGCTAATTTACCAGCCTTGCTKGGGATTACCGGTGGTAACATGAAATCCAATGATCCATCAGCTTGTACAGTCTTTGTCAGCAATGTAAGTTATATTTATTGATGCAATAATAAAACAAAAAATAGAGAATTTGAATTGAGGACACTCTGCAAAGCAGTTGCCAGTGGAAACGTGATGTTCACCTGAGAGCACAGTTTGAGGGCGACTTTAATTAAGATGTATATGAAGTTTTTAGGTACATCCAGTTTCCATGGGGAACTATTACAACAGCAGAATTATTCAACAAAAAAATTTCCAGAAACGGGAAAAAGCATGCAGGACGTCCCATCTGTACTCTTAAGTTCTGAATAATCGTACATGTACGCTTATTTATTCTGGCAAAATATTCCACTCTATACGGCCTTATTCGGGACTGTACGTTTATTAATTTTCAGGGTTTTTTCTCTGTTCTTACCTTAATTAGCTATTAACAAAATCTGAAAAAAAGTTCTGAAAAAGTTGCCCAAAAGACGAACATTTTGTCTCCAAAATGAAAACAAAAACAGGAGCGAACAGTAAACTAAGACCACGAATCATCTGGTCAGCGGATTTGATTGCGACGGAGACTGGGGGCAAGTCGGCGATTTTGCAGAAATAGCTTGAAATTTTGTTTTTTCCACTCTATACTATTATTCAATCCTATACTATTATTGGTTAATTTGGATTTTTCCACCCTATACCATTATTATGCTCTATATGATTATTCGGAACTCAAGAGTACACAATCTTTGAGTCAGAAATGGCGATATGCATTATGGTGTCATTTACTACAACTANGTCATGATATAAACGGCCTATTCAGTAATGTGTAAACTATCTATTTGACAGCTTGATTTCAAGGTGACATGGCAGAAATTAAAGGATGCATTCCGTTGTGCAGGTATTTCCAATGCCAGTTTCTTTGTGACATTGAACATCCCTTTTATACATTTTAAAGTGTTCGGGCTGGTTTACACTACTATGACATAATGCATGAAGACAGCTAAGAACAAAAAAAAAAGACAATGGAGTGAAGCCAAGAACAAACATAAGCACAGCAATAACATGTTACATAAGAAAAAAAAACAGCTTTTGTCTTTAATAATCCAGTTTCAATATCTTATTTGCACAGCCTTAACCTCAAAAGCATGTTACAGTGTTATAATATCCTTTTATTCAGCAGAGAATATATTGTTACAGTAATACAAACACTGTGTATAAAGAAGGCAATAAAAATCTATGCATGATTGAAGATAAGCTTAATGATTAGGGTGTTTCTCCACTTAGGCACYGTTGTTAGAGCCAATATCAAAGAGGACGACAATCAGAAGTCTAAAGGTTATGGYACTGTGCAGTTTGAGACTCCTATGGAAGCACTAACTGCTGTTAGTATCCTTTTCATAATTTAAATGATTATTTATGATGACACAGGTGCTATGACTTTATAGTCATACTGTTAGGGACGAGAAATGGTTCTTTCCAAGACTTTTTAGGCAACAAGAATGAGATTTTTAAAACAATATTTAATAATGACTAATTAATTTTTGCAAATCTTGACACAAATTTAGTTTAAATACGTGAATTTCAACAGTTAAACAAAGTTTAAAATCTTTTTGGGGCCAAATGAAGTAGATAGTGATATCAATAGGGGTGATCRATTTGTGCTGCACTTGCTCCTTAACAAGACTCACAGGTATGCTTAATGGGCAAATGCTGATGGACAGACCAATCACTGTTAGAATGGTAAGTATAATATATGAACATATTGTCAAACCATTTAGTATCTACTCTGAAGTTCCAAATAATAATAGTAGAGCATAATTAATAGTATACTAGAGTGGAAAAATCAAAACTTGTCCCCAGTCTCCCTTAGAATCAAATCCACTGACCAGTGTCTTAGTTTGCTGTAGTCTTTGCAGTGCCTTAGTTTGCTGTTCGGTCATGTTTTTGTTTTCATTTTGGTGACAAAATGTTTTTTTTTTGTTTTTTTTGTTTTTTTTTTTTTGGGGGGGGGGGGGTTTCGAATTTGTAAGCTGTTGTACACTAAGGTCCAATCCTATTGAAAGATCTATGAAAATTCACTTATAAATAATTGTACATTGCAGGACCGTAATGCAGGGGGATCACTTGGTGGGTCAATGGGTAGCTCATCAAGACAAGCCAGTCAGGCATTACAAGCCAACCCTCTAGCATCAGCAGCCTCAAACCCAATGGCACTGTTGAATATACTTCAAAGCCTTCAAGGCCTTACAACACTAGCACAGCTTGGAAATCTTGGGGGGAACCTTGGAGCTAGCCTAGGKGCAAACCTGGGAGCTAGCCTTGGGGGTGGATTGGGGGCTAGCTTGGGATCTTCACTTGGTAATACTGCTACTAGCCAGGTTTGTATGTAATTATGGAAACTAAAATGCTTTATGTAGGAAAATATCTAGTAAATTTTTGCTTTGGTACATATGTAAGACGACTGGTAACGTCCCTTATCCACTTAAATATTATAGAGGTGTCAATGATGTAGATGTTTATAGTTGCATTGCTTTACAGACTTTGGGTGCAATAAGTAATCCTAGCACAGCCATTGGTGCAACTGGAGTAGGAACAATGGGCGCTATGGGAACTGCTATGGGATTAGATGCAAGTAATCTTGCTGCACTSACAAGTCTTGGTGGAATGATGTCACAGCTTGGTTCAWCMGCTGGAGTTTCACCATCTGCTTTGGCAAACAGTGCTGCATATGGACCCACAGAAAACACCTCAGGAAAGCAGGTCTTTGTGAGAAATGTAAGATATGAAAAGTTACATCAATTAATAATTGTTTAAAGGGACACTGTCAATGGCATGCATGCRCGAGTAAACTTRAAAACATTAGGCTAATGTTTTCAAGTTTATGACTCCAAGTTGGCGCSACATAAATCAGCTCGTAAACGTAAACAGATCTAGAATATTCCAAAGTGAGTGTCAAAAGCACCACAAAATGATTTATCTCAAAGGTAATACTTTCAAAGTCTGTTAGAGGCGAGACTGTTACTGCGCATGTCATCCATTGACAGTGTCCCTTTAATGTACTAAGTAAACAAATTAGAATGGAGAGTTTAAATTATTGGAATTTTTTCAATAATTTGAACCTCATTTTCTAACTCAAAATGACATTTTTGTTGTTTGTGCTGCYGGCAATTCAAACTATGGTTAGTAYTGTGAAGGGTGCATGATATATTATACAAAGTTAATTGTTCTTGTCCTTGAAAATTGAAATACATGTTGTATCTGCCTTGAAAAGTAATCAAACAGTCCTTATTTTTTGGTAGATATAGTTGTAAAGAACATGAAAACTCTGAACGTCAATAAACTGCTTTTTTAGACTGTGATCAACTCTGACTATTAAGTCAGTGATGTTTCTGAGTTTTTATTAACAAGATTAGCCTCCCCATATGTCGTTAAAATTRTGATGTAGAGTTGCTTGAAAGAATCATAATTTTTTTATGTTAAAATGCTATTTTAGCTTCCATGGAAGTACACCTGGCAGGACTTRAAAGACAAGTTTAGAGCTGCAGGTAAGCTGTTGCAGCATTTATATTTACTAAAATTTATAATCTCACAAGAAAGCAATGTGCTCATTATCCTACAATTAATCTACCTTTAGGTAAAGTAGTGCGTGCTGACATTTTGACAGAGAATGGAGGTCGTTCCAAGGGCTGTGGTGTTGTGGTCTTTGAGACACCAGAAGAGGCACAAAGAGCCATTGGTATCCTTATTAATACTAGTTGTTGCTACTAAATGYTAAAAATCATCTTGTTC